AATCTTTTTAAATATTATTTTCATGGCAATTTTTAGAAAAAAGTCAGTGAAGTGCATTGAAATTGGTCTATTCATTTATTGCATTTTTGTGGAAATGGGTTTTGAACAATTCCAAGGAAGGAATGGATTGACTTAGTTAAGCTGGTATGCATGTAGCTCAGCAACAAACAAACTGCTGTAGTGGTAAGTTATCCTTTCCACAGCTGCTCTTCATCTCTAGTTTGTTGGCTGCAGAAGTGCCATCTGCTCTGTGAACCCCACCAAGCAAAGCTGAAAGATGCCAAAGAATAACAGCCTCAGTTCCTGATCCAAAGAGGCAAGGAAAGAACTCTTGTGCCAGACCGTAGAAGAGGACCATTTAAAATCAAAGCAGGGTGGGCTTACAACAAGGAAAGTTGGCCAAGAGAAGCATTGAAATCATGAAAGTTGGATTGGTCAAAAATCATTTAAGGACAAAATGCTCTGAAAGCTGAAGACATTCTGAAAACGATGATCAAAAATGAATGATGTTGTATATACTTGTCCTTTTCCAGTACAGCCTGAACAGTCAGGAGAAATAGACTGAATGAAATTATGAGTACACTCAGTGCTGAAAATGTACCTACAGCAATGATGAAGGTTCAGAGGCAAGAACCTAAGGCCATGTGTATAAAATGCAACTCTTTTGGTCTTAACCAATGGCAATTAAACCACTGTGATTAGAAAACAGTAAATAGAAACAGTCAGAAACAAACAAGTAATTACCACATTTAGACTTCAGACTATTTGAACTAGCTCTTCTCATTGAGGGAGAATGATGCAAAGTTTCAGATCAAAGGGCATTCCCACTATTAAATAGTATTTTCTGTCTCTTTTCTCCTAAAGCCCCACTGTAGCCACCACTACTAATATCACTCTTAAATGTCATATGCTATTTTATTCATAACAGAGAAATCTGCACTATCAGGATTTAACTCATGTAAAAAAAACTTCTCCAGTAGAAAAATGTTACTGAAGAAAGGTCATTAAGAAAAAAAAACATCTATCAATTGGTGGGCTGTCCGGATTTCTTAATACATGAACAGAGCTAAATAAACATGTTAAATATGTCTGACTGCAGTCATAGTAAGTGCAGGATATAGTGCCTGAAAGCACTATTTTGTGCTGGTAAAAACACGAAATATGCTCTTTGTTAACAAAATAGCAGCCATAGTGCACATGATTGGTAAAAAAGTCTATTTAATCAGAAGATAAATGAACAAGTTTCCTAACTTCTAATTCAGTTTTGTTCTTTGAAGGCAGTTGAACAAGTTTCTAAACAACATATTAAGCTGCATTTACCCATTTCAATTTTTAAATAATGCCTATTTTTGTAAATAAAAATACTTCCATTTGCTTTGTAATTACATTTATTTTTTATTGAAGACATCTTTGAAATAAAATGATGAGAAGTCAACAAGATTAATCAAAGGAATTTTTTACAGGTACTTTGGTACCAACAAATCCTACTCTGCTTATTATCTGATGGAAAGTTAACAAACCAAGGACTACCTGCTATATTTATTTTCCTTTTTGATTATAATAAGCATGTGTCATGTGGAATTAATATTCCTTTCCAGTTATGCAGATTAAACAAAAATTGGATTTACTTCACATCCCGTAGCAACAATGGAAATGGACACACCCAACTGTGACTCATTGTCTTAAAAAACCCTTGATTGTTCTGTGTTAACTTGCTATCTTGACTCCAATTTGATAGGATTAGAACATTTCTAATTTATTTAATTGCTTCCATTTTCTTTTCCTCAGCCAACCGTAGAAAGCTAACTTTTGCAAGTAGACTGATATACTGTATACCCTCAACTTTTTAATTCCTGAAAATTTTGGACTTTTGTGTGTTTCAGGACATTTTTATCTTTTTGCCAAGAAAAAAAATGGCTTTGGGCAATTTTCAACCCTCCCTTGGCTAAAGGATGCAAAATTGTTCTTAAAAAAGTAAATATCAAAAAATTAGAAATAGTTGCCATTTCTGAGGTAACTGTTTTTTTCTTTCTTTCTGATCCATTTGTAGTTGACAAAATTGGTCAAATGTGGATCTATAGCAGAGTGCAAGTTCTGTGGAAAAAAATCAACATGAGTGGAGGAAAGTATGTTCAGGCATCTGAGTAAAGAGGAGCCACTTGGACTAAGACTGATGGCTAACAGCTTTGGCAATCCAGGTTAAGTAATCCAGCGTACTTTAGATTATTAAACAATGATTTCCATCAACTTAAGCAACACAGCAGATGGCAAAAGTTTGTGGGAGTTCAAAAAATCTGGAGGACAGGGTGCTTATTTTTGCCTGCGGCAACAAAAGTGTCAACAGAGTATTAAGACAGGAAGCGCGGAGCCTAAAGGAATGGATTTTCTTTCTATTTCAAAGGAACAGATGGGGAAACAAATTACAATGAACAGGAATTAAAAAGTTGATTAATGTGGAAAGCACAGTGTCTGCTTTTTTGTGGCAAAAAATTCAAATCCCTTAAGTAGCAAGCTTTCTAATGTAAATCAAGTTTTACAAAAACTAAATTCAATATTATTTTAGAATCTAAATAGATTCTGCTTAGTATTAATCCACAAGCCATAGTATTGGACTTCCTTGACGCCATGTAAATTAATATTTACAGAAAGCTGAAGGAAATAACTTTTTAGCATTGTATTTCCATAGGGCAACAAGGTATGAATCAGTGCAAATCTCTCAAAAATCAACAATGTCTTTCATGCCAGACACATTTCTAATAAACTGCTCTTTATTAGATTGTTTTGCAAATGTTCCAGTGTTCAAATTCTCCATAAAATTCACACAATCATTATTTATTTCATAGGACAATCAGTACTAATTATTTTTAACTGTATAACTATTTTCAATTAAGGCCAAGGCATTTCGATTAATTTGAGCAAATGACTAAAAATTAGCCATAATAATCATGTGTGAAAATAATCACAGCAATAATTCCTTGTTCAAAATTGCCAGGAAGCACCTGTAAAGACACATATGCTATGTGTTCTGTTTGAAAATTATTATTATTATTATTATTATTATTGATGATGATGATGATGATGTTGGAAGGGACCCTGGAGGTCATCTAGTCCAACCCCCTGCTCAGGCAAGAAATACAAATGGTAGCTCTCAAAAGGTTGAGCTTTGGTGGAACAACCTGGACAAAATATAAGTCACTAACAAAACAAAGAATTTCCAACTATAGCTTTCATCAATAGATTCTAAAATTAATTGATTTTGCTGCATTTTTGCTGTAAAGTTTGAATCAAATCAAAATAATTTTTCAATGAATGTGCAAATGGAAACATGAAACTCAGAATCAGATACATCTACATTTATCTTTATGTTTGTAAGTTCAGCACTAAGAAGATGGCCATGAAATAGATCTTTCAGCTGGATTCACTATATTACACAAATACAAAAAGCAGCAATTCATGAAAAATGTTATCAACTAAAGCACCACAAGGGATACTTATTTTGCATGTCTTGGCATCTGTTCAAGTTAATCCAGAAACAAAAAAAAATGTGATTCAAGAAAGTGATCTTTGAAAAAAGCAAGAGGAAATACTTTTGAATAGCATTTTTTTTTTCAAAATCACACACACAATGAACCATATATTTCAAGATAGATATTTTACTCAACAAACCATATATTTCAAGACAGGATGAATATAAAATCATACATTTTTAATCTATGAGATTAGAATTAGGTAATTTCACTATAGAATTAAGACACTAGTTGGGAGTCTATAAGGATAGCCCACAGAATAGGTCTCAGAAACCAAGGTTTCTGTACAACTGCTTTTATCTATTGCATTGTCTACTTGCTTGCTTAGAGATTTGTTTCTTGTTTCTTTCTCCTTATATTGTATGGAAGTACAATCTGTTCCTCAATTTGAACCAAGATGTATTACAGCAGATTTTTTCCTCAAGAATTTGATATGAAGAGGTTTCCAACCAACTTCTGTAATCATTACCGGTTTGGTTTAGTGGTTGAGGCATCAGGCCAGAAACCAAAACATTGAGTTCTAATCTACAGTATCTTAGGCATGAAAGCCAATTAGGTGATTTTGGCCTGTCATTTTCTCTCAACCCAATTCATCTCACAGGGTTGCTGTTGTGGAACACAGGAAGAGGAAGGGATATTAAAGATGTTTTTTGCCTTGAGTTTATAAAATAAAGACGGAATATAAATAAATATAAATAAATATTCTATTATTATTTTCCAATCAGCAAGCTTGGACTAAATGTCTTTGTACTGTTTTCCACGATCTCAAACTCTGGAACAAAGCATACAATTATCCTAAACATTTTTTACACAATTAACATCAGTTTTATTTTTTAATATTTTTTTTAAATCATGCCAACTACTGCTTTGTTGATTCTATTTCAACTCTTTGTTAGATCTCATCTAAAACTGAGTTGATTACAGCTTTTGTCTCTACAAATCGCCAACTCTTCATTTGCACCATTGCAGAAAACCATGACAGTTGAAGTGCAGAAAATATTTTATCTGTTAAAATGCATCAGTATTGCTTTGTGTATGAATTTAAGAGATCTGGCTGAAGTACTATAAATTTAGAATGATTCTTGGCCCTTTAACATAAGATTGTGAGCAATGAAGTAAAGTTGGCAGAGACATATTTTTGAAGCTACATATGCTATTCAGTATTTTTGATTCAAGATTGTAAAATTTATACTCCAGTCAAATGTATGCTGCAGAACTCATTATTATCCTGTTAATAATATTAGTTTTATTTTGAATCAGTAGTCAAAGAACTGCACAAATCATTTCAGAAATCAAGCAACAGGTCTATAGATAACCTAACAAGATTATTTCCATTCTGCAAATAAGAAAACTACTTTTTGCTTCTAACACCATTTGTACAAAATTATTAACTTTAATTTATCATTTATTTAGTTAACCATTATTATCACATTTTTATATTCTAATGTTGATATTTAGAAAAGTTAAACTATCTTTTTATTTTTCTTTCCCTTTCCTTGAAAAGTTTGATCACAGTCTTGTCTTTCCAATTGACATCCTATGAATGCTTGACTCATAGGAAAATACAAAATTGTACACTTTCCTAGGAAGAACTCACAGAATTATTGAACATTCACCATATTATTTATTTGCTTTTAACAATTTGCATGACCTTCTTAGTATTGATTACATTCCTATTGCACTATTCAGAAGGAAGCTATAACATTTTCAGAAGAATTACTTGAAAATAGAATTTCTGCACCAAACTACTCTAATTGATCTATTAACTCTATCATAAATGGTAAATTTTAACTTCATGAAGCAAACAGCACCTAAGGGGATATTCAAGGTGTCAGTTTATAAGCATTTTTATTTACCTCAAGTATGTATGAAATAACGTAAGAGATGATTAATGATCTACTCAATCTCAAAGACTATGTGCATGAATATCCACAATAAAGTATAAAATTGCTTAATGCTCATCTAATATCAGCCAAACTTATTTAGTATTTTTACATATATTACATGAAATCATGCAGTTGAGGATCATAAATGCAATTGGAGTATGTTCATGCATACATAAGGGTATTAGGTTACAAATTATTCCATATGAATAATAAGGACAATAAAGTGGGCATTATATGATTTCTTAAGAGAACATCTTAATTTAAATAGTAGCTTATTATTAGTATTAAAATAATGTTTTCCACAAATAACATGTAGAAAATAAACAATGTATTAGCATTTAAAAAAAACATTTAAGCTCTTTCAATCCTTACTACTAATATTATAGAATTATAAATATGCAATTAAATGTTTAGCATTTATTGCTGAACACAAGTAGTACAGTAGTCAAGATGTTGACATAAAAACCATATAGTTTTCCTTCAGACATGAAAGTCAGGCTGGATAACTTTGGGCCAATCACCCTCTCAGTCCTACCCACTTTACAGAATTGTTGTGGGGAATAATATATATTCCCTCAACTTGTTCCAAAATAAAGGCTGGATAAAAATAAAGTAGTCTCTGCATAAAAAGGAGATGACCTAAGATAATGTCAGCCTTCCGGGTAAATCAGACAGGAAAAATACTCATATGAATTGATTCTACTATATTGTAAGGTTACATTAACAGAATGTTGCAACTTTAAAAGTATAAATATCCCACTGTCTCCTTAACTGCCTGTAAAAAAGATATAGAGACTCTTCTCTTTCTCTGCCCATTATGCAGCTATTGGCTATGCAGTTTATTTTACCATTTCCTAGGCAGCATTTTTTCATCCTATCTCCTGAGGTCTTTCTTACATTCCAGGACAGATACAAGTTAGCTGCTCTAAAATATGAAAATGCAAGGTTCTGGTTCCATTAGTTACAGAAGATGCATTCATGTGCAATGTCAAGCCCACAATCATGATCAACAAACCCTAACAGCTGGACTGATACAACTTGCTAGGCCAAAATAAAACAGAAAATGTTGAAGTGAAATATGTGAGCCTTCTTAACAGTCACTTGAATTAGGCTTTTATTTCCAGCTCAGGAGATTTACAGAGAGTTTTCTATGTGAGGATTTCTGATTCATTTTAATATAGAAGATCAGGATGCTCATGAAACGAAGAAAACTCTAGTAGTGGCAATACTACTACTACTACTACAGTACTATATTCTAGAATTTCATTTGGTGATGATGGAATTGTGTTTAATCCTATCATGTAAGTATTATTCTATAGTGTAACCTGTTTCATAAGTGTAATTTGTAGTACTTTGTTTTATTTTGCCCATACAACAGATCTTACTACTGTGTTCACAAAATACAATTTAGTCTTCCCCAATTTCTAAAATTCTCAATGATGTTTAAACATTACGGAAGCTGAAATCCAGGTCATCTGAGGTAAATCAGTTTTGGCAAGCTGATCTATCTCCATTATATGTTAGATGATATCAACTGTAGAGGCTACATAAAGCAAAACAAAGGTTGTAACGACACTTATATGGACCTTTCTATTTTGCTTATTTACAAAAACAGCAAAACTGTGAGCATATGACTATACAGTATTTCTATAAAATAACAGCTATATGCATTTTAATAAATAACTTCTGACAGCTTCCTAAATTTAGAGTTCAACAGAACCAGATTTAGAACCAGACTTAAAACCAGAATATTTCAAAAATACTCTTCACTTACATCTTGTTAAAAGTATTTTATTTAGCCCACTTCATAATACTCCTCGCAGCTCAAGGCACTTGAGACAACGTGCAACTGAATCTTCTGTATTTATTATAAATATATTTATTAAAATATTTTTATTTCATGCTAAATATATTAGTGACAAACACTAGTTTTTAATTGTTAAAAAAATCTGTACTTTCAAACACAAATAACTGAAAATATTATTTTTCATGCTACTAGAAGCTGACCAACAAATGCAGGATTTCGTTCTCTTATTAATATAGTAATAAGTGCAGCTGCTGAATCCATGGTCTCTTGAAGTTTTAGACTTTCCTGAAAGAAAAGGAAAAAATATTCAAGAATGAGATACATTTCTAAATATAAAAATTCCTGCACACCAGCAATGTTTGAAAGCAAGTCCATAATTCAATATTTCAGATCTGCATTTTGAATGTTCTTAGATTGACATTATCTATTGAAGTAACATTATTCCTTCTGAAGTCCAAATAGTATTTGCAACCTAGGACTGTATTTTTTCTAATTATTCTAGACTAAATTTTCTCATTTGAAAGGAATAAGCTTACATACAATAAATTATTAGATATATCAGAATAGGAAACATGCCATTTGTTGTTGACATGTTAAATATTTCACAGAATCATCTAGCAGCTGCCTTTTCTGCAGTTATTGCTGGCATTTTACATTCATGCTTATAGATGATATGAAATATTGTTACTCATTACCAAAACTTGAAAAGGAAGGATCTAGTAATTACAATCTCTCTTGTTATGTAAAATAATTGGATATTATTGAACTATTAATCAATTAATATTAATTAATAATTAATATTAATCAAACTATTAATACAGTTCAAAGTTTAATTAAACATTCCTGAGCTGTATTAATAGTTATTATTTAAATTGATGTTTTAATACATGCATATATCAGATACCACAATATATATTATAAACTGCAAATAAAATCTGAAAAAAAGAATTGACAAACCCTGCCAATATCATTAGTATAAATTCACATTACAAAGTTTGAATCTGTGAAAATATCTATCCATCCATCCATATCAAGTCCACACGGCTCCTCACACACATACCCATAGTATTTCTGACCCAGAGACCCCCTTGCTTCCTCACCCTGCTGGCCTTGGATTTGCAACCACAATTTCTCCCTGGCTTTCCATAAGCAAAATAAATTGGAAAGCCAGCAGAAATTTGAGAAAGGAGCAGGGGGAGAGGGAGAGAAAGAAGGAAGGAAGGAAGGAAGGAAGGAAGGAAGGAAGGAAGGAAGGAAGGAAGGAAGGAAGGAAGGAAGGAAGGAAGTTTTCTGATGCTCCCTGACAGCTTTCCACAAGGAAATTCAATGGGGAAGCCAGTGGACAGCTCTCGTTGCTTTTTTTTTTCCCCACCCATGGTCATTCTATTTTTCTATTTAGGTAAGCAAACATCTCTAAAACAATGATCCAATGGGACATGGGTTATCTAGTGATATATAGGCATTAAACATTTTTAAAACTGGGAACTATACTGGTGTCTTTAATTAAAAAGTGGCAAAATATATTAAAATATATTTTAATGCACATGCCCACAATGATTCTCTCCAAGCTGAATATATTTAAACTTCACAGTTTAAATATAAACTTTTGTTATCACATAACATTCATTCATCTGTCTTTAGGAACAATAATACATTAGAACTACTAATCCATAATCTATGCATCATGGCTTCTCAACTAAATTGCAGATCTGTCTGTTAGTTGGTTCAAATTAATTTTCAAAAGGAGAATAACAGGATTTGTTTTGTTAAATCACAAAATAATAATTATAATTATAGGATCTTCAAGTTTTTATTATATTTATGAAAACCAGCTATTGCTCTTTGTAGATCTGAGGAAACCAAAGCCCAAAGAAATATCAATTAAATATATAACTTTAAACCAAAGTGATTTCAGTGGTTGATTATGATGTCTGAGATTTAGATTAATGCATTTTTAAATTCAGTAGGAAGACAAAATTGATTTATACTTGCATTTATTTTGAGACTCGCTCCAATTATAATTAAACTAATTTATTTTTTTAGTAAAAATCCAGATAAAAATATTTATGATCTTAAAGTTATAAGCAATCTAAGCTGTAAACGGAATTACTAAAGTTGAAAATTTATGCTCGTATCCCTGAAAGTAAAATTTATTAAATCAGAGTAAATATATATGATCACACTAAAATGCAATTTATTTCCAAATATATACATGCATCAGATACTGAAATATATGGAACAATATGAACACTACATTTTCTATGCAATAGGCTATAATTCTCTGCTTACTTGGTAAAAAAAATGTACATGGAAACATTATTTTGAGAGAAATCTTTCTACAATTTAAAGATTGAAATATTATGTACTGACAAATCTTGTTTATATTTATACCACTATTCACATTACCAAAATCTTAAAGAGTGTTCGTTTCAATGAATACACAAAAGAAAATTACACTAAATAAACTAAGACAACTTTAAAACAAAGCCAAGAAAGACTTTTATGACAAGATTCCTTTTATTGAACAGTGATATTTCTGCCAAATAAACATGCTAATTCAGAGAGAACCCTCTCTGAATTAAATAATGGGATGCTTATGGAGTTTTTCTTTAGAATTGCTAATTATTCAATTCTTTAGCAGGGATTTATTCCTGAGCAAAACAGCTATTCAGCAATAACATCCTGCTTCTCTACACTGTTCTTCCAATTGCTAAATATAACAAAAGTATTTCCCAAATTTTTTTTGTCACATCTATTAATTCATTTCTTTGCTCTGTTCACGATTAGTGCTTTTTGTCATGGTTCCAAAAGAAGCAGCTTTTCAAAGAACTTTGAGGCCTTGTTTACCTTAAAGAATCCTTTTATTGCTACATAGCTTCCACACCTACATAATGAAGCCAAAAACTGAATACTCCTTCCCCTAATCACCTGTAACAAAGCATAACTCACTCCTTCATTTAACAGTCATCAATCACGTTCTCCAATTAGTTTGAAGTATGAACTTTTCCTCCTGTATCTCCTCTGGTTACAACTGACCTTGGAAATACTGTACTGAAATATTGTTATGGTTAACTATTCCCGAGTACATACTTTCCCCCCTCCCTTCTAACATGTCTGACTTTAACTCTAGAAGTGATACATAGGTTAAATAAAACATGTCTGCTTCTTCATATATTGTCAAGTAAGAATATCCAATGTTAGCAGCCATGACACTTTTAATTGTGATGAAAAATTTAATAAAGAATTTTCAAAATTGCTTTTTGAAGGAGTGTTGGTTTATGCTAAGATTTCATCATTAAAATTAACCAAGCTTCATGATTCAACTAAAAAGAATAATGTGTTTTACAAATTAAAACAGAAAACTGATATACAGCTCTCCATAATTTTTCTTCCCCCAAATATATTAGCTAACAAGTTATACCAGGAAAATTTCATAAAAGAAGATATAAAATTTGTTAATATATCACAGAATTATAAATGGCTTGCCCCTACAATTTCCAGTACATATACAGGCAACAAATGTATCAAGGCTGGCCATAATGCACATAATACATATTCTTCTTTTTTGCAGCATACTATATTGGCTTTAATTTGCATATTAAATCAATGCATCTGCTCTATCCCTATGTAGTTATGTTATGTATTAATATACATATTCTATTTGGGAAAAAGGAAAAAAAGATTGTTCTTCTACACATGCATAATCAGTAAAAAAATAGAGATAATGGGTGTAGCAACAACCTTATCCACTGAGGAAATTAGTGGAATTCATTGGGACTTGCTTGGGAAGACAGCTTAGAATTTATATGAGCTTCAAACTTCTATTGGGAATCTGTCATTTCTGGAAAATAAGGTGGCTACTATTTATATATTAAGTATATATATATAAATATATTTCACTGTATTCTTGTTCACTGAAAAATGCTTTGAACATCTGCATTGTCAGGATGCATGCATGAGCAGGTAAATGAATGTCTTATGTCAATATAAAGTGTTAGAACTTTGGCAATAAATTTATAATTATGAATTAAGACAAAATGAAGATCTATTACCTGTTACTCTAATTATATTAATAAAATCACTGTTGACTGATGAAGACATGTAATATTTATGCTTGAGGGTTAAGAAAGGAAAACTTACTGAAGGTCAAAATATTTGAGCAATTACATTTTGGTTGAGATTTTTACCACAAAGATAGTATAATTTGTTTTCCAAATTCTACTTGGATAACTTTTGTCATTCTTGAACATGAATCAGCAATTCACTGTCATCTGAATTACTGACTTACTTGCTCACAATTATATTGTATCAAAGATAGCTATGAAGTAATATTATGCATTTTATATAATTCAATGCAGATAAACCATTTTCGAATTAAGTTAAATCAAAGTAGTTGCAGTAAGGTAATACTTTATTTCTCAATAACTAGAAATCACAGCCAGATGTATAAACTATATAGGTTTATTTTTCAAAAGATTGATATAATATATAGCCCCTAATATACCATACCATATATATATCCCCTAATATACCATACCAATCACATTTATTCTACATGCACACTATACTTATAAAAACTTGGTTAACGTAAGCATTCTTGTTTTGAATGATTCCAAGCTGTTTTATGCTTAGAGTAATCCTCTTTCTAATCACAATATGGGTTGTTAAGATTGTATATCAGAGGTTTGGTTATGAGATAGTATCAGATTGCATTTTTTATTATAAAAACTATACAAAATAAAACATTTCTTAACACCCTCAACATTGTTGGATCTTGATTTTCTTATTTAACTTATTAAACTTATATACAGTGTTCTACCATATCTACTATTATTCTATATTATCCATGACTTCTTTTTTGTATCCATATACATGTATCTGAAGTTTGGAAGTCCTTTTGTACAAATCTATACTCTATAGAAATAATTGTCTATGTTTCCACATATTATAGCTTTTTTTTCTCCTGTGTTACATTTAGCTTTTACTCTGTCTTTAATGTCTTAATTGATACCCTGCTCCCTAGCCCACATTGTCCAAAGGTTATTTCTGTATCCAGACTGTATTATGAATTGAAGTTATTCACTTTTTGCTAAAGGTCACTTCTCAAGTAAGATAGGCTCCTGGGATCTTCTGTGGGTACGTGTGGGCCTCTCCTGAGGGAACCTTAGTACCTCTGGGCTCTTACAAGTTGCTAGCCTTCTAACTCTTCTGCTACATTTCCTGCCATTGATGTCCTACTGTTTCACTGAAAATATTGTGGTGGCTAATATGACTGCTACTAAAGCCAAGCTTCCTGGTCACCTGAGACTTCTCCTACCAGGCTTTCCAAGGTCTCTACTTGCTAAATTTTTTCACCATCACATTTTTATGTCCTGCTTCTTCTAGTTCTCCATTGCCTGTTCTATGAATTCTCTCCTATAATATCTCTAGGATTTCAGCATTTTCTTCTTCTTTTTATTTCTATGAATGGCTACTTGCATCCTCAATCACAGATAGAAAATCTTAAGATCCAAGCTGGTAGGAAGCATAGATGAAGTTATTATGCACACATTCCCACAAGTGCTAGGGCACTTGGTTTCCCAACTCTCCCACTACCTAGCATCATAGCTCTTCTCTGTCAGCTTGCTTGCCAGGAACTTCAACCTGCACTTCCAAGACTGCATTCACATGATGCCCATTTAATGACCCATATGGTCTTGGGTTTATGATGTAACCACTGCCAGGATTGCTGTTGCTAAAAGATGTGATCATATGACATCTTGTTTTACAATCCCATTGCTTAACATTAGAAATTCCAGTCCCATTGCTGTCATAACCCGAAGACCAAAAAAAAAAAAAAAAAAAAATCATTATCCACTCATTATTGCACATACCTTTTTATACTGTATAAAGAGACCATAAAGTAAGATATTTTTCTTTTTCACTTCCTTTGCAAGTATAGTTAAGCTTTCAATTCCAGTATTAAAAGATGTATTTTCTAAAGTGCCCATGTTTACCTGCAAAGGAAGAGCACATATAAATTACTGATTATAAGGAATGTTCATATTTTCTATAGATACAAAGAGGAAAAATAATTGATTTCTATTTAACAGTTGACCAAATATTTTTCCCCTGAAATCTTATGTATATTTTGCTTGCAGTTGCTAACCAGGGAATAAATGCAACAGTTTAATCTATTTCTAAACAAACATGCATAACTGAATCCCATATCTTATAAGTTCTTTAATATTTTGTCTGTCTGCATTTTAAACCATTGCTATTTTATGGAATAAGAAATCAAATAAAATACCCAACAAAATGAAAAACTCTCTTCTAGAAGAGCAATAAATTAAGAAACTAAGTAACTTGTTGAATTTGTTTGGCTTCCTTTTTACAATACCTCTTACTTGTTACCAAAGTCACAACAATGCTGAAAAAATAAAGCAATAGTATAGCACTGAATAGATCAAATATTTTATAAGCTGAAGAAACATCTTAACCTACCAAAATGAGAACTACAGGGTACAAAACCAAAGCACACGTGTTTTCAATTTTGTCTACCAGCAGTGAGATTTCCTCCAAGCCATGCTGTTTATTCTAAAGAAAAAGGAAATAAGATTTATTTTGGAAACCTGTGATATATGGTGTTCCTTTTCTTTTAGAAATATGGGAATTTGCCATATGCTGAATCAGATAATGTATTTACAGTAAGTTTAATATTACCTACACTGAATTTAAAGTGTGAACTTTACTATTAGGATTTAATTTTTTCTTTTTCCAAGCAACTTTGGTACTCTTTTTTAGCCCTCTATGTTCTAATTAAATTATGTATCAGTAACTATATTATAAATTATTGTCCTGTTATAAATTATTATGCATTTATTTTCCCATTCTCTATGCCATTCAGAGCCATAGAATCAGAACAGCTGGAAATAAACATAAAATGCAATTATCTTCTTAAGGTAATTTATATAGTCAAAAAATAAAAGATTTATATTAGAATTATGGGCCTCTATGAGATGTCTTCAGCATCATTAATACACCACATACACAGGCTATAAAAGCCTTTTTGTGAGCAAGTTGTTCAGAAAGTTATCTTAAAAGCTTCAAATAATTTGGATCATAATAAACTTGCCTAGGTAAGCCAAGTGCAAACTTATGTAAAAAACAAAAACCTAATGTTGCTAACAAATCTGATGTCTTCCCATATGTGACAAATTACTTACATCCTCTGAATCTGAAAGCACATATTTTGAAAACTTTATATCTAGTTGCTATTGTGTGCAAAACATTATGAAATCAAAATACATTTTTCCAGTGCACAATGACTGTTGCTAGTACAAAACAGATTTTCCAATCGCTTTAAAAGTGTTTCAAACTCATAATAGCCTTGTTTCAAGTTTAAAACAATTTCAGCTCAAAATATTTTCAGAATAATCAACATAGCTGATTTTACTCTAAAATGCATCACATCAAATTTAAGTTATTTTTCACCTATCTATGAATGTGACAATTTGGTGAACATATAGTATACATTTAGAAGAAACATTTAACCTTTGTAACCTTTATTGACATTTTTTACTGTGAGCACAATGGCACACTTTAAAAATGAAATTTAGTTGCTTGCTCTCAAAGTGTACACACATGTAAACATACTACACACAGCATATGTATATAGGTCTTTGGTTATTCGGGTTTTCTCCCGCGTAAAATTGGAAGTGTCTTGGCGACGTTTCGACGAAGTCTCATTCGTCATCTTCAGGCTGGTGCTTTCAGCTTTGTGCTCCTAGAAGCAATGTGTGGTTGTAGCTGTTTCTTCCTTTTAATTGCCAGTGGGAATATGAACTGATTGGGCGGGAGCTTGGCTGTGTTCTGATTGGGTGGAAATCTGACCAACCACTGCCTATCCAACACATACTTCATCTATAACGGACAAAAATACAAACAAATAGAAGGAGCACCCATGGGATGACCCCTCTTATCTATCATTGCAAACCTCTACATGGAACACTTTGAAACCCAAGTTCTAGAAAAATCTGATCACAAACCCAAATTCTGCCTCAGATACGTAGACAACACCTTCAATATCCGGCCACATGGGAAAGAAAAACTGGACAACTTCCTCACACACCTCAACAGCCTACACCCCAAAATACAGTTCACCATGGAAACAGAAGCTAATAACCAACTTCCTTTCCTGGATGTCTTAGTTTACAAGAAATCCAATGGCTCCCTAGGACACACCATCTACCAGAAGAAAACACACACAAACCGCTATCTGCACACTCTCTCACACCACCACCCAGCACAGATCAGCTCCGTAGCAATACACTCATCTCCAGAACAAAACGCTTAGCTGATGAACAACACCTAAAAACCGAACTACACATTCTCACTAATGTACTAACATCCAATGGATTCCAAAGAAATAAGATTATAAACCTAATCCAAAAAGAAACCCCCACTAAAATCCAAGACAGAGAACAAGAAAACGGCAAAGCCCTCCTCCCATACATAAAAGGCACCACAGACAACATCCTCCATAAATACATTAAGACAGAATTCTGCACAAACAGAAAAATATCCACCATCCTAAGAAACCCCAAAGACAAAATTGAATTAGAAAATCAAGGAGTATATGAAATCCCATGCACTGCTTGTCCCACCATATACATTGGACAAACCAACAGAAGAATAAGTGCACGCATTGAAGAACATAAGAACTCAGTCAAAAAAGAGGAACCAACCTCTTCCCTGGTCCAACACCTTAAAGGCACAGGACATCAAATTGACTTTAAAAAGACCAGAACTATCGCCAAAACTGAACACTTTAATAGCAGAATAATTAGAGAAGCTATTGAGATAGAAAAACACCCACACAGCATGAATAAACGAGATGATATCTCCTGCCTACCAGCCATTTGGAAACCCACCCTTATTGACAAACGAGTCCCTAACACAAAGAATGACACCAGACCCACACTCACAAAAACCATACAGGATGTCACCACCACACATCCACGCAAAAAGCAAACCCAAACCCACACCAATGATGAGGCACGACCACAAACCAGAAACCGGACTACAGCTGCATCATTAGCCACTTTAAACCCCTCCAATCCATACAGGAAGCAAACTGACACCCACCATGAAGTTGAGGCACGACCACGAACGCGAAGCCAAACAATAGTAATGCAACTCAATATCTCAAATACCCCTGCAACTCAGACTAACCCATCCAATCAGAGCACAGCCAACCCCCCATCCAATCAGAGCACAGCCAAGCCCCTAACCAATCAGAACATACCTCCACCCAATCAGAACACAGCCAAGCTCCCACCCAATCAGTTCATACTCCCACTGGCAGTTAAAAGGAAGAAACAGCTACAACCACACATTGCTTCTAGTAGCACGAAGCTGAAAGCACCAGCCTGAAGATGACGAATGAGATTTTGTCGAAACGTCGCCAAGACACTTCCAATTTTACACGGGAGAAAACCTGAATAACCAAAGACCTACATACAAACACCCGCGAAAACCTCAGAAAACAAATAGCATATGTATACAATATACAATATATGCCCTTACATATAAGTAACATATAACTATTAATCACTGTCCATCTTGAATACATAACGGAAGGAGAAAGCTTTGGAGTTCACAAGGTTTATACTGTATGGAACGAAACTGTGGCTGAATCTGGATGTTATGCTTCGGATACCACGGAGCGTCTCCCAGAAGGTAACAAGGAAAACAGGTCGTGAAGAGGATGTGTAGTGTCCCAAACAATCTTACGGACTCTGCTCAAGCAATGCTTATGTGCTATTTAAGTAATACTATATGGTTAAAATACTGTTTTTAAAATTACATAAATTGTCTCCTTCCCCCATAAACTTTTATTTACTTTCTGTAATACTTACATTTATATAAATAAAGTTGTAGCACTGTCTTAACAAAATATTTTGTAAGTTATCATTTTTATGAAGGGTGATTGCTTCATTTTGAACATGCTGAAAAGAGAAATAGAGATTATTTAATAAATTGATTACCAGAATTGTTAGTAATGAATTGCTAAAACTGCATGTCTCAAATGACATACCAATTGTTTACTGAAGAATCCAGAATATTATTTGCATGATTTATAAGTAATAATTAATACTTGATTATTCACAAGGAGAAAGAAAAATAAAGTATCACCCTGCAGAAGAGAAAAAGCATTTTGCAGACTGCAACATTTATTTCTTTATTAAATAAATATAAATAACCACCCAAAAGGAACATCTACCTCAGTAAGAAATATTTCAAAAAACTTGTGATATTTTAACTATGATAAAACCTAATACTATAGAAGAGGTGATATATTAAACATCTTTTTATTGAAAAGTTTTATACAAGTTTTTAACAATATCCCCCCCTAAAATAATCCCTTCCCTCCCTCCCCCCCTCACTTTCCAGAGCTGGTTACAGGGTTACAAATAAACAAACAAATTCTAAATAAACTTATCCAACTATACAAATAACAAAATCACTAATGTACTTTAACTCGAATACAAAACAAATTTAAGCAAATAAAATATATAAAAAAAGAAAAAAATAACAATATAAGCAATTCCAAATTAAAAAACTAAAAATTATTCATAATCTAAATAATACTTTTTAATCCCATATCAACTCTATTTACTCTACATGTAATTTATCCATCATCTCCACGTTGAGGTGTATATTTCTTTTAAACAACCATTAATCCATAACACAAAATTTTTAACACAAAATTTTCCTTCCAATATAACCCAACCAACAAACTTACACTCGATAAACTTGGCTATTTGCTTTTTTCCCCACCCCTAAGTAAATCTATTAATACCCTCCTGCTTAAAAAGTTTCAACAAACCATTCATCTTAATCACTAAAATTCTCACCAACAGAGATCATTAGAATTTTTTACACATTTACCCATAATATCTCATAATTATTTTTATACACTTTAAATTAAAAAATTTATAATATATATACTCCCAAATATTTAAACTTTTCCACTAAATCGTCACCTTCTATTATTCTTTTTCTTTACATCTACATACTACACAAATCATTCACTATTCCTTTAAAACATACTATTTATTGTTCTTTTTCTTCACTTCTACATATTACACAAATCATTCAGTATTCCTTTAAAACATCTTCTATCTCAAAATACTACTACAAAAGTTCATCATTTCCTTTTCTTTATTCCAACATCTGCCTTCTGCTGTTCTTTTATTTTACGTCTATAGGCTACACGAGTCATTCTCGGTTTCTTTAAAAAAATCTTCTGTCACAAGAGACTGCTGCAGAGGTTCAGCCTGTATGTCTCCTACATCCAATAATATAGCACCTTCAACTGGCTGCCCTTCCGACTTTTCTTCTGGAATCTCAGGTCGCAAAGATGATGAAGAGCCCGCCTCCAAAACAGAAGTGTAAAAATCTTTCGCCTTTGAAATTGTGTTAAGTTTATGATATATCCCCGCATAATTCACCACTATTCCAGCCGGTATCTCCCATCTGAACCGGACCTGTCATTTTTTGAGCTCATCAGTCAAAAAAGCAAAATCCTTTCTTTTTCTAAGAATTTTTGAAGGTATTTCTTTTAAAATTATAACATCTTGAGTTACAATTTGAAATCTCTGCTTATAAAAAGCCTGTAAAATTTCATTACGAAGTGATCTTTTAGAAAAATAAATAACCACGTCTCGTGGCAAATTCCTCTGCCTCGCAACCCTTGAATTAACCCTAAAAACTTTTTCCGTCTCTCTCAGTATTTCTTCAGGCTCAGCCCCCAAAATGAAAGCTATATATTTTACCACCACTTGTTTCAAATCCTCTTGCGTGTTTTCCTTCATTCCCCTTATTCTTAAAGCAAATTCCATGTCTCTATATTGTAACATTGTAAGTTCATCCAGTATTATTTCCGCCTTATTTTCTATTTTATCAATTCGATCTTCCAGTTTTTCAAAATTTTCCACAACATCATCAATACAATCATCCAGTCGATCTATATGACCAACAAACTTTTGAAACGCAGACGTGATATCCTCTCTCAGTTCCCTAATTTTATTTTTAAGAAATTCCTCCATCTCTTTTTTAATCTGTCTTGCCTTATTTCCCAAGGCCTCCTATAAATCTTTAAGTATAGATGCTGGTAACGATGGAGAAGGTGGTGGTAACTTAAACTTAGCTTGCTGAGCTGTCTGCATTACTGGGAAGACCGAGGCTTTAAAAACAACAGAAGCTCTGAGACGCTTTGAAGCCATTTTATTTTTAAGACCACATGTTAAAAAGTCTGCTAAAATCTTATAAAATCAACAAATACCAAAAAAGGGGGAGGAAAAAAGACAAAAGCCCCCTTAAAAGAAAAAAGAAGATTCTTGCATTTTATATAAATACAAAATTTGTTACATTGTTTCAAATAGAAGTTCCGGTCCTTTCACTCAAAGAATCAACATCTCAGCGCCATTTTTCACCACTCTTTAATTGAAAAAAAAAAAGGAAAAAATAAATTCTTTTCCAGAGTTAAAGTCTCAAAATAATCACCATTTTAATCTCACCTGGTCAGCTCTGTCTGCTTTAAATTTTACTCACAAATTCATTTTAAGCGCAGATGTGGAAGCAGCGTCTAAAAATCAGGGCAAAGGCATCCTGGAATGTGGAGGACACCTCAGAGTCCGTGGGAGCTCTCACCCTCCGACCACCAAAAAAAAAAAAAAGCTTTGGGGTCTCGGGGAGCTCTACCACTATCTGAGGAAAGCTTACCTCCTCCCCTTTGCCCGGGGAGAGAGGTTCCAAGCCGCGAGACAATTGTTTCTCGCTGTCTCAACTGGCTTTGACACCTCCCAGGATGGATGGCTGAAAAAAGCCGCCATCGGCGCAGCTGTCGCCACCAGATGTCGATATATTAAACATCTTGAACACAAAGAGTTATTGATCAACAACAGCTTTTATATATTGTCTTTACATGTTCTGAGAATACTTACTTTTACATGATTCTTCATTTTTTCATTAAGGAGAAATCCCACTTGCACAGCATCTTCCTTTATGTCAGTAATAATGCAAACTTCCTGTGATATAGTATCTGGAAAAGACAATTTAAAAAAAAGAACAAGAAGGGGGGAGAATTATTTTCTTCACTATTACCTCATTTCCAGGATCTTTTGTCTCCCTATATAAAATCACTGTGTATTTAGAAAACAGAAAGTTGTTGATGACAACTATTAATATTAATGACATTTCTAAGCTTTAGAACTTGGCTAACCTTCTGAAATTTTATATGGGGAATATATTATGGATTGTTCATGATAAATTGTACAAAATAGTTTCAGGAGTCAAAATGATATCTGTTCTGGGCATAACTATCTTGTCTTTCATTCATAAAATTGGTTGCTATTCCTGGATATTCATAAGACAGCTCTGTATTTCACTAAGTTCAATTGGTTATTGACTTCCATATTAAAAGATATTCTATAGGCTATTTTGTAGTGGACTTTTTTTTAAAAAAACTGTTCTTTATATAATAAGGTATAAATTAGATAAAAGGGTACAATAAAGGTATAAATTAGATAAAAGGGTACAATAAAGTTGTTGGGTTTTTCTGTTGTGTGCTTACAGCTGTAGATAAAAACAAAAGAGATTCAGATGTTTATTCAACACTTCTTTTGCAATAGCTAAATTAAGAATATTATACTTATTCAACCATTCAACTACAATTTGTTTTTAAGTTTCTGTACACAAAAATTCCACTAGCTGCCCTATGACTCTTCTGAATTAAACTATGTGTGAAGAATGTTGTTGTTAATTGCGAAGTCGTGTCCGACCCATCACGACCCTATGGACAACGTTCCTCCAGGTCTTCCTGTCCTCTACCATCTTCTGGAGTCCATTTAAGTTCTCAACTACTGCTTCAGTGACTCCATCCAGCCATCTCATTCTCTGTCGTCCCGTTCTTCTATTGCCCTCAATCTTTCCGAGCATTAGGCCCTTTTCCAGTGAGTCCTTCCTTCTCATTAGGTGGCCAAAGTATTTGAGTTTCAACTTCAGGATCTGGCCTTCTAAAGAGCAGTCAGGGTTGATCTCTTCTAGGACTGACCGGTTTGAACGCCTTGCAGTCCAAGGGACTCGCAGGAGTCTTCTCCAGCACCATAGTTCAAAGGCCTCAATTCTTTGGCGCTCAGCCTTTCTTATGGTCCAACTTTCACAGCCATACATTGCAACTGGGAAAACCATGGCCTGGACTATACGCACTTTTGTTGGCAGGGTGATGTCTCTGCTTTTTAGTATGCTGTCTAGATTTGCCATAGCTTTCCTCCCCAGGAGCAAGCGTCTTTTAATTTCTTGGCTGCAGTCCCCATCTGAGGTGATCTTGGAGCCCAGAAAAATAAAATCTGTCACTACCTCCATTTCTTCCCCATCTATTTGCCAGGAATTGAGAGGGCCGGATGCCATGATTTTGGTTTTCTTAATGTTGAATTTCAAGCCTAACTTTTGCACTCTCCTTCTTCACCCGCATCAAGAGGCTCTTTAGTTCCTCTTCACTTTCTGCCCTTAGAGTGGTATAATTCCAACGTTTGATTCATCTAGCCCTGCCTTTCTCATGATGTGCTCTGCATATAAGTTAAATAGGCAGGGCGACAGTATACAGCCTTGCCGGACTCCTTTTCCAATTTTGAACCAATCAGTGGTTCCGTGTTCGGTTCTCACTGTTGCTTCTTGACCCACATATAGGTTTCTCAAGAGACAAATGAGATGGTCTGGTACTCCCATCTCTTTAAGAACTTGCCACAATTTGTTGTGATCCACACAATCAAAGGCTTTTGCATAGTCAATGAAGCAGAAGTAGATGTTTTTCTGGAACTCCCTAGCTTTCTCCATGATCCAGCGTATGTTGGCAATTTGATCTCTAGTTCCTCTGCCTCTTCGAAATCCTGCCTGTACTTCTGGTAGTTCTCGATCCACATACTGCTGGAGTCTAGCTTGTAGGATTTTAAGCATAACTTTACTAGCATGTGAAATGAGTGCAATGGTGCGATAGTTTGAACATTCTTTGGCATTGCCTTTCTTTGGAATTGGAATGTAAACTGACCTTTTCCAATCCTGTGGCCACTGTTGAGTTTTCCAAATTTGCTGGCAAATTGAGTGTAGCACTTTTACTGCATCGTCTTTTAAGATTTTGAATAGCTCAGCTGGAATACTGTCACCTCCACTAGCTTTGTTGTTGCTCAGATTTTCTAAGGCCCATTTCACTTCACATTCTAGGATATCTGGTTCGAGGTCAGTGACCATCTCATTGTGGTTATCTGGGATGTTAAGCTCATTCTTGTATAGTTCTTCTGTGTAGTTTTGCCATCTCTTCTTAATCTCTTCTGCCTCTGTTAGGTCTCTGCCATTTTGGTCCTTTATCATGCCCATCTTTGCATGAAACGTTCCCTTCATATCTCCAATTTTCTTGAAGAGATCTCTGGTCCTCCCTATTCTGTTGTTTTCTTCTATTTCTTTGCACTGTTCATTTAAGAAGGCATTCTTATCTCTTCTAGCTACTCTCTGGAATTCTGCATTCAATTGGGTGTATCTTTCTCTTTCTCCTTTGCCTTTCGCTTCCCTTCTTTCCTCAGCTATTTGCAAAGCTTCCTCAGACAGCCATTTTGCTTTCTTGCATTTCTTTTTCTTTGGGATGGTTTTAGTTGCTACCTCTTGTACAATGTTGCGAACTTCCATCCATAGTTCTTCAGGCACTCTGTCTATCAGATCTAATTCTTTAAATCTATTTGTCACCTCTACTGTATATTCATCAGGAATATGATTTAGTTCATACCTGAGTGGCCTAGTGCTTTTCCCTACTTTTTTCAATTTAAGCCTAAATTTTGCAACGAGAAGCTCATGATCTGAGCCACAGTCAGCTCCTGGTCTTGTTTTTACTGACTGTATACAGCTTCTCCATCTTTGGCTGCAGAGCACATAGTCAATCTGATGTTGTATGTCCATGCCGTCTCTTGGGTTGTTGGAAAAGAGTGTTTGTTATGACCATCGTATTCTCTTGACAAAATTCTATTAGCCTGTGCCCTGCTTCATTTTGTATTCCAAGGCCAAACTTGCCTGTTATTCCGGTTATCTTTTGGCTTCCTACCTTAGCATTCCAATCCCCCATGATGATAAGGACATCATTTTTGGTGTTAATTCTATAAGGTGCTGTAGGGCTTCATAGAACCGGTCAATTTCATCCTCTTCAGCACCAGTGGTTGGGGCATAGATTTGGACTACTGTGATATTGAATGGTTTGCCTTGGATTCGAATTGAGATCATTCTGTCATTTTGGGGATTGTATCCCAGTATTGCTTTTCCTATTCTTTTATTGACTATGAAGGCTACTCCATTTCTTCTGAGGGATTCTTGCCCACAGTAGTATACCTGATGGTCATCTGAGTTAAATTCACCCATTCCTGTCCATTTTAGTTCGCTGATTCCTAAGATGTCGATGTTCATTCTTGTCATCTCTTTTTTGACTACGTCTAGCTTGCCTTGATTCATGGATCTTACATTCCAGGTTCCTATGGAGAAAAAATCTTTACAGCATCGGACTTTCCTTTCACCACCAGATATATCCACAGCTGAGCGTCCTTTCGGCTTTGGCCCAGTCGCTTCATTCTTTCTGGCGCTACTAGTACTAGCCCTCTGCTCTTCCCCAGTAGCATATTGGACACCTTCCGACCTGAGGGGCTCATCTTCCAGCGTCATATCTTTTTGCCTTTTAGTACTGTCCATGGGGTTTTCATGGCAAAGATACTGGAGTGGTTTGCCATTTCCTTCTCCAGTGGATCACATTTTGTCAGAACTCTCTGCTATAACCTGTCCATCTTGGGTGGCCCTGCACGGCATAGCTTATAGCTTCATTGAGTTACGCAAGCCCCTTCGCCACGACAAGGCAGTAATCCATAAAGCGGATGTGTGAAGAATAACTACTAATAAAAAGTCTTGCTATCTACCACCCAAGAGTTTTAGCATTAAAATAAATATGTGAATTTTCCTTTGATAGGTACTTTATTAATGAAGGTGCTATCTGCCCCTCTAGATAATGTTCTTCTGGATTTTTGAGTTAAAACACAGTAACTGGACTAGAGAGAAATAGAACAACTACAGATAACATTAATGTAAAGGAGCATTTTTATTTAATCATCATCATCATCAAAATGCTGACAAGGTGACAAGTCCAAGTAGGACATACAAAGTTATGTAGTACCTGCTGGCAATTCCCCTGTGAACATAATGACTTGGTGCTTGGTTTAAAAAAATGTAAGCTGAAACTGGAATTCAGGAGGTCATATCTCATAAGAATTTGATCAGAGTTCCAAAAATATTAATTCTTCATCTAATTTTAAATATATTTTAGGGACTATCTTAAAGGCAGACTAAAATCTTCAAGCTTACATGTTTCAACTAGAGGTTCAAAGATATAGTTACCCCGGGCAAGAAATCCTTAAAGAGATTCTTTCAGGATGTTTTTATGCTATCCAGGTTCTAACTGCTTTTATAAATGAGTCATCCTAACTGCAGAATGAGGTTTCCCTATTTTCAGACTAATAATATAAGAAGAAAAAGGAGAGACATGCGCCACATTGTCTGCACATCCAGCAAGTTGCTACCTGCTTTATTTCAAGTGCATTAAGACTTATTTTTATTAAATCAGTATTCTATTATTTTCCAATCTACATTTTAAAAGAAATAAAAAAACTAAAAAATGCATAATTATTATGGCTTTTTTGTGTGGAATCTTTGGTGTTCTCTGAACATGGTTGTTTGCTTGCAGATGTTTCATTACCCAACTACCCAAATCATTATACATAAAACTGTTTGTTTTTCTTACCTACATCAGTGTTCAGTTTAATAGAATGGAATGTATTCTTTATCAACAGTTATTCTGCCTACAGGGGAAAAAACTGAATTTTTCCTGAAGCATTTGAAACTTGTTAAATGTATTTGCATTGGTAGGATTTGTAATACAAAGTATCAAATAAGTTTCAAATAATTAAAAACAAGTGATATATTAATTTTGTTTAAATTATTTTAGGCCATGTTCCTCCAGTTGACTTGATCAATTAATTTAAAGATCAACAGGATAAATTATAAGCTATTATTTGAAACTCCTGTAAAAATATCTATGCAAGCGTTCTGTTTAGTATTTAGTTGTAATATTTATTTAACAAACATATATGGCCATCCATATATCAGTAGAAACTTTAGGCAACAACATAAAAAACACAAAAAAACCCATTTGAAATAAGCAAACAACCCCACACAGAAACTACCCCTCACTCACGTATGATATAATTTGCATCAATCCCTCACATCATGCCATTTATGGTGCATTTATAATTAAGACAAATGAATGATAAAGCAAATATCTACATGTAAATGGGGAAGCCAGATGTACCTAACAACGGTGTTATTAAAAATTGCAGTGATTTATTTAACAACTGTGGCAATAAAATGGGGCAAAACTCAACTGTATCACTTAGCTACAGATAATTTGGGCTTAATTATGGTCCCAAGTCAAAAACTATTTATTTGCAAATACACACAAATTAAATGGAAATATAAAAAACATAAATATATGATAATTGGTAGACCATTTCCCCAGAAATGTACATTGAGAGAAGAAAAAACATCATCATTGTTTTAGAATAGTTTATTTATATAAATTAAATTCAGGTTTTTAGTCTTGGCATTTTTGGCTGATGTAACAACTTGTAAGTCTGAGCTTGTACTATTAATCATGGGTGGGCACAACAAGTCTGCACAATAAATGCAATGTTGTTTTGTAAAGTAGTATGTTAATATATCTTGTTTACAAAATTTTTATTTTATTTCAAAGTTAAAATACAAAATAAAGAAAAGAGGAAGAAGAAAGAAGAAACAAATTAACACTGAATACTAATAAAAAGGGCAAAAAAATAACAAATGATGACATTATTTGTTAATAATGACTGACATTAAACATAAATGTCCACCCTGGTTGAATGCTGAGAAATATATCAAAAATATATGATGTATTGTCCTTCCCTTAACATACCAAGTCTACAAGTAATTATAAACTTCCCTATCTATATCTAGTAAAAATACTGTGTTAGATAAAACAATGTCCCTGATGTGAAAATCTATTTATCTATCAATCCAATCGACCCAGCATTTTTTCACGATATAAAGAAAGCAATCAACAGGAACCCCAAAAGCAAAAATAATTTTCAAAGACCTCTGTTAAATACAACATTATTATATTTAACATGCAGAAAATCCACAAATGGCTGCCAGTCTGTTACAAATTTATCTAATCCATTGTTTCTAATCAATATAGTTAATTTTGTCATCTCTGCCAGTTCAGTCAATTTTATTCATGTATCTGAATAAACACAAATACAATGTGGCTTAGGCTTAATGAACCAGATAATTTGCCAACAGAAGTTGTAAAGCAAATTATGTGATGATCACTGGGTTATTCTAATGTAGAAACAAGGAAGATATATGCCTTCAAATGCTGCTGAATCACTCAGCCCAGATATTGTAGCCAATGGTACTCTTATGGTTTATGCTAGGAGTTATAATTCAACAGTATTTGAAGGGTCAAGTTGCTTTGTTCTATTCAAATGAAAGATAACCATGTTGTATTTAATAAATACTCCTAAATGTACAGTAGCTTACTTTTATAAGAAATTGCAAAAAATAACTTTTATACCAATCTGCCTTTATCTTTCTCTGACTTGATCTTCTATTGAAATGGGGAAATACAGATAATAATAATACAGAAATAATAAAAAGAAAAATCTACAATGCTGTCTTTTCAAAAACTCAAAAGGGCACCAATGCATATGACAGCAATATATTTGCTATTTGGGATAAAAATAATTACAATAGCATTTCTGCTCTTCACAAAGGCAGTACATATACGTATACATATACATATTCATCATATCAGTTATCAGCTATTCACACTCACTGACCATTTCCCCCTAATATAACATATTAAGCAAAATTTACATTCTACAACAGCAACCCTCAATGATTAATATATTTTCAGACTTAACAAATATAATTATAGAAATTTTTTATTCTAATTACTGTTCTTTTTTATATACCGGAGCTTTTCCCATTATTTGTAAAGAAGTCTCAGGTAGAAGGAACTGCAAGGCAACCAAAACAATTGGAGACTGTGTCCACGGCCTAGAAAATAATATGTAAATTGCAGGAACAAGAAAAAACACATACCTTTGATTAAACAATCAGCTGCAAAAAGATCCCACTTGTAAGTTACCTAAAGGATAAATAAGATTTGATTTTCTAGAACAATCAATATATTAATCTATAACTGCAAACAGAACAGTGTCCAAAAGCAATTGTTTATATATAAGCACCTCCAAAAATTTCTAATTTGTTAATCTTATTTTTCTAAAAGATTTGAGATTTTGCAGCATTTAAAATCTACTGAGCATTAATTTTTGACACCTTGCAAAGAAGTATGTATTTCATTTAACAATGCTATTATAATTTACAATTAATAAAGTAGTCATAATTCATTCAGTAACAACTCTATATCTGAAAATTATAATATTAATGTCCATGATATCATCAAATAAAATAGCTTTATTACATTCTTTGATCAGGTTATGTAGTAAAAAAGGAGGGTAATTTAATAAAGCAATTCATTATTGTATTTATTGTAAAAACAATAAAGACAATAAAACAAGATATCTAATTATGCAACTGCATTACTTGATGAAAAGTATCTGGCACCTGATATATGACTTAACATCTCATAAAAAGTAACAAATTTAGCATTTATTAGTATGATTTCAAATTTAGAGAGATTATAACATGTCTTAGGACATTACAAAAAGGAGATCATAAAAGAGACATAATTAAAGGCAATAATAAAACAAAATGAAGAACATAATAAAACAAGTTAAAAAGGCAAGCTAAAATGTGGAAGGAATGCCCTAATCAGTGATGGCGAACCTTTTAGAGACTGAGTGCCCAAACTGCAATCCAAAACCCACTTATGCATCGTCGGGTGCCAGGTGGGTGTGGCTCATTGGCTGGGTGTGGCCCATTGGGTGGGCGTGGCTGCGGTGGTAACGGCAGATGGTGGGACTAAAAAGTTCAATCAATCAATTCCAACTTTGCAAGATCTTTTTTTTCCCATGAGAAGTTGAAATTGACTGACTGAACCTTTTTTTTTTTTTTTTTTTTGCACACGGCGGCGGAGGCCTAAAGCCAAAAGCTTTTATAAAATCCAGCTGAAGGCCTAGGACTGGGGAGACGGCACGCGTGCCCACAGAGAGGCCTCTGAGTGCCGCCTCTGGCACCCGTGCCATAGGTTCACCACCACTGCCCTATATAGATACGATGCCAATAAGATTTGGTTCTATCTGACAACAGCAGAGGCAGCCGGCCAATACTGTCAAATATGATTCTGAGTCCTCAGATTAGAATCCAGGAACAGACCTAGGTCTTAATACTTGACACATTAACTTCAAGCCTCAAAACTGCATTATAGGGTGAATTTTGGAGTAATGAACAAAATCCTAGGAAATTCAATTGAATTTATGAGATCTTAAGTTTATATATGAGCCAAGATGTATCCTTATAATCCAAGTTTAATCGTTTTTGGAATATAATTTGCCTATGCAATTTAGTTATTGCTTGTAGGTTCATTTGGGCAGCATAATTTGCCTATGCTGGTAATATCATCTATAAGTAGTTAGGTTTTCTAACTGTTCAACATTTTTTCTTCAATAGAGAGGCAAATAAAATAAATTCAATATAAATTTACAAAATAGGAAAATTAATATATGGTAATACTCTCCATGGACTGATGGTTTCAAAAGTTCATGTTAGTAATTCTTATAACATAATATTCAACTTAAATATCTTAACAAGAATGAAAAAATACACTTGCCATTCTTGCTTTTTCCTCCTGCCAGTCAGAATAGCTAAACCTGAGATGTGCAATGCATGATAAAGGGACAAGATCAGCGCTTGACTATATTCCTACTTTTGCCACCAAATGTTGATGCTGTTGCCAAGGCTACATATTTTGTTGGACTGTCCCAATCACCAGCAGAGAAAATAAGTCTGTAATTAACTTCCCTTATTCGCAGCTAGCAGTATTCAAGTAGTGAGACTAGACTACCCTCTTTTTCCAATGGAACTCCTAAAGACTACAGTTCATTTCCATTTTCTTCTCCCAATCATATATATAATTAGAAGAAACATGGAAGCTAACCTGGCAGACCACAAACTTGCATGTATGTGCAATTTATAATCCATGAAAGATCCTCTGGTAAATGTTATAGAAAATTACAATTTCTTGTAATGTGTAACTGTAATATAAGCTCCAATCTTGATATTGCATAATTAAGATATAAAGAAAACTTTTCTGCTACTACCCCCCAAAACAGGAGGAAAAAGATACAAACCCATCCATTATGTTTGTGTTATTCTCTTGCAGTGTGCAAGAGAATACCTGCTGTTTGATATTACCAGAATATTTTCTACTCTCCTCTATGCTTTCTCCTTCAAGATGTTTAAATGTTACTATTGATTTTACTATTGACCTTATTAACCATAACCACAAATATTATTTATTAAAGTATTTAGTAACAGAACCACAAGTATTATTAAACAATATAATTAATTTATTCAATTTAATTAGAAGACTAGATGTTTTATTATAGTTAGTACTGTTAACACCTAGTCATTAACATCCTGTAAAAAATTCCACATTATGAGAAAAGGTTTAACTATTAATAAGTAGCAATAGCAATGCTCTTACCTTCCATAGGTCAGGAGATCCTTCAATAAGCTTAGCATTTATTTTGCTATATTTTAGAGCTAGATGCAAACATTCTGTTCCATAATCCAGATCATAGTCACTACACTGTGGAAAACAAAAAGAACAAATTATAGAATGTTTTAAAAATAAAATATGGCATTTGATCAGCAGTGGATATACAGAATATCAACCAAATAGATTGTACTGCTGTTTGGTTAATCCTTTAGAAATGTTGCTACAATACAATACCTCACACAAACCTCTGGAAAAGAGGTAAACTCTGTAGTATTTCAAATATTTTTATATTCATACAGCATAATTATTGTTATATTGATAACAATTTTAATGCTGAGCTATCACTTTGGAATCCAATCTCTTTTTGCTTCACAATTATCACTGTGCTTCAGTTAGATATTTATTAATATAATGTATCCTCATAGCATCAGGATACAAATGCAACTTAATGACTGGCTTGGACTTTGAGGATCAAAATCTGAGTTGGCATGAGCTAAAAATCTTTTACTCCCACCTCTGAGGAGACCCAAACTCAATGCCTGCTTGAACTTTGGCAGCAAAAATCCAAAATCTTTCTCTTTGCCTCTTAGCCCTTTCCTTGGCCTGTTTCCCTGCCCTTTTATTGGCAAAGAACTGTCTGTCAAAAGGGAATTTCAGCTCTCTCTCTCTCTCTCTCTCTCTCTCTCTCTCTCTCTCTCTCTCTCTCTCTTTCTCTCTCTCTGTGTGTGTGTGTGTGTATGTGTGTGTGTGTGTGTAATGTCAAGGAATGAGATGACCTCCAGCCAGGCAACTCCTCTGCTTCCTCCACCTAGGAGATGATTAATGTTTGCAACCAGGAGCAAAGTGGTCACATGAATAACCACACAAGAGCAAGATTCCAGTTCCAATTGTGTAAATTGAGGATTTGCCTGTAGTCTCTGTTCATACTCAATATACTAGCAGTATCAAGATTGCAAATTGGCATTATGTTATACATAAATAAATCACAATACTAAGATAAAGAATTTAAGGCAAACCCCCAAAAAACTAGTAAAGTACCAAAATGTATGATAAGGATAAATATGCATCTAGATTATGGAATTTACTCAGAAGCAAATTAGAATCTCATATCTCTTATTAAGTTACAGCAAGTATTTATGTAATAGAAATCATGGAAAGAATCAAAGCAGGGTAATGCTGGAATCTGTGACTGTATCAAATAAAGATTTATGAAAGTATCAAAGGATCCTGCAGTAGGAAGAAGCAGATACTGGCATTTAGTCTTTTCACAGTGCAGTTTCTATTGCTTGATTGCTTTTATAGCAAAGAAAACATACTGTACTGTGTGTGTGTGTGTGTGTGTGTGTGTGTGTGTGTGTGTGTAGCAATACACATATACATGATCTAGTGCCCTAGTTATGAAAAATGCTATACTCTTCATTTTGCAGCTTGTAAATAATCAAATTAACATGTTAATTTAAAGCAATGAAGGAATTCAAATAGATCTGATTAAATAATCAGTAATCATTAACTGATATAACATTAAATGGTACTTCTCTCTCTCTCTTTTGCAATATTTGTATGCTGCCTGTATGACAACATTTAAAAATTATATAAACCTTAAAAGAATATTATAGACAAGTTATTTTAAAAGGCTCACAGATATTCTGCAGAAGCTAAAAAATTCTTGCAAGATGATAAGCAAGTTATAAAACTAAGATTATCCGTTAATGAAACGATGAATTTTTTCTTTCTCAGTATTTTGTAGCTTTTTAAAAATAGTCCAGACCATGCACTTATTATGCAACAGCAAATTTCATAACAAATCAGCATGCCAAAGAGATAACCAGTACAGAATTATCTAAAACATTCAGGTTCACTCAGACTACCAATTTCAGATTTAATGTTTTAACAAATATGACTGAAGTCATTAATCAAAACTGAACAAAACTTGTTTAAACTCTTCCTTCCCGGCAATACAGTGGGGAGTACAGAATGTGTGCTCAGATCTCTTGTTAATGTTCTTGTGGAATGTTAATATCAATAAAATTGCCATGAAGCAATAAAATTGAAAGGAGATGATTTTTTTTAATTATTTTTTTATTTGTAAAAGCCAAACTACTTGGGCTTTTTTATTCTTCTACTTCTATTTACAGACAAAGATTATGTTTAAGTCTAAAGCTCATTGAAATACAAAGAACATATAGTTAGAGAGGCAAACCTAGAATCATAAGGCCTTTGTCTCTTCTTTTTTAGTGATAATTATGTCTTTAGGAGCTGAGATAAGCAGAAAAAGGAATCCCTTTCATTTGTCTCTCTGCTTTTCTCTTTCTCATCTGTTTTACATTCAAGTGATACATCTTTTAATAAATTTAAAACTGTAATATCTCAGAAGCTGCTAGAGCAGTGGTGGCGAACCTATGACACGCGTGCCACAGGCGGCACTCATTCCTCTCTGTGGGCACGTGTGCCATCGCCCCAGCCCTGCCTCCCCCCATGGCCCCCTCCTCACCAGCAGCTCCCCTGGAGCAGCGCAGCCAAGGACATGGCAGCCGGGCAGCAGGGACAAGACTCCGCCCTTGCAGCCCATCATGCTCAGTTGATGCTGCGGGGTGTGGGCAGAGGGTGTGGCCACCATGGCGCTGCTGGGCTTCCTGGGTGATATCCGGCAGGCCGTGGAGGCGGTGAATGGCCCTGCAGGTGGGGATGTAGCAGGCAGGATGGGGGTGGAGCAGGGGTCAGGGCAGGTTTTGGGGCATTCGGTCTCTAAAAGGTTTGCCATCACTATGCTAGAGCATCTGAGCAACACAGGTAGTCCTCGACTTACAACAGTTCATTTAGTGAATATTCAAAGTTACAACAGCACTGAAAAAAGTGACTGATAACTTTTTTCACAAGGTCACATGATTAAAATTCAGATGTTTGGCAACTGGTTCATATTTATGACAGTTGCACTCCTTGCGTTCATGTGATCATCTTTTTCAATCTTCTGACAAGCAAAGTCAATGAGAAAATCAGATTCACTTAGCAACCATGTTGCTAATTTAATAATTGCAGTGATTCATTTAACAACTATGACAAGAAAGGCCAGAAAATGGAGAAAAAATCACTTAACAAATGTCTCACTTAGCAAAACATTTTGGGATCAATTGTGGTAGTAAGACAAGGACAACCTGTACTGCTTAATACATTCTTGTGTTACATATTTTCTCAAATGAAAATTGTACATGGGTTATACTCAACATGGAATCTTTAAAAATCTTTACAATAATCATTAGACTGATGATCCCTTGTTTACCATAAGCATGCCAATAAAATATCTTCTCCACTATTTTCAAATTAGTGTAATACCATAGGTCAATATCTCATGTGATTCAGAATCAAATAACTATTTTCCTATTTAAAAAAACAACCCTTGAAGCTTTCAGATACAGATCTGCTTAGTGTACCTAGACTACAAAACTTGCCAAGATTTCAAATGATAATGGTAATGATAATGATAGAGTTGGAAGGGACCTTGGAGGTTTTCTAGTCCAACCCCCTGCTCTGGCAGGAAACCCTATACCATTTCACATAAATGGCTATCCAGTCTCTTCTTAAAAACTTCCAGAGTTGGAGCATTCACAACTTCTGGAACCAAGTTGTTCCACTGATTAATTGTTCTAACTGTCAGGAAATTTCTCCTTAGTTCAAGATTGCTTTTCTCTTTGGTCAGTTTCCATCCGTTGCTTCTTGTCCTGCCTTCAGGTGCTTTGGAGAATAGCTTGACTTCCTCTTCTTTATGGCAACCCCTGAAATATTGGAACATTGCTATCCTTCACCTCTAGAGTAAGTTTGTTCTTCAAAAGGGGCCAAAGAGAAGAATACTCATAAAAATATTGTTCCAATAAATATATGTTAAAATAAAACCTGATGAAAATGAGATAGCTAATCTACCATCATCTTAACATAATCTCAGTTTCGCTGATATTCAAGTAAGTTTTAGTTTGTTATAAAAACTTTTTCATTAACTTTTGCATTTAATGTAGCTAATAGAAGGTAATTCTAGAAACTCCCTTAAAATATACAATTAACTCAATATAATGTTCATTTAAAAACAACACTTCACTTTTTGCAGATGCATGCATTAAATCAAAAACTTTCCATAACTGAAGCATTTGTAAAGGAATATGGATAAATCATAATTTATCCATGGTGTTTCAATTTAGTAGCTTACCTTGAAAGCTGTAAAATATGGTCTCTAGTACTAGACTTTATAAATTAAAAATTATAAGGAAGAGTCTCTATGAGGGATTCCCTTTTGCTCTTAATCTGTAAACATTATCTATCTTACTTTAAAATCAACTGGCAATGAGAAGCATTCCTGAAGGCATTCTTCTGTGTAATTCAATAAAGGTTTCCGCTACTCATCGTTCAATAAATAATTATTTTTTTAATTATTTCTACTAAGTTGCCCTGTACTTTAACTAGTTCTGATTGCAATTTTGTAATTATTTTTATCATGAAATTGATCATTTGTCTCAGGTCTTAATTATAGAGAAATAGCAATAATTATCTTCAACCCTTCCATGATTTTAAGATCTCTATGGATCCCAGATATGCCAATTATCAAACTTGTAAATTTAATATCAATTTGTGTAGAAATGGATTGGAATTTCATTAATAATTCAAAGTTTGAGATAGTGATAGATCTGGAAATAATATAGTTCTATTCAGTCCATTAGAGAAGGAGCTGTCATTCCTTCTTAATTTCTGTGGCATATCAAAACATTGTATAAGTTAATTCAGTTTTTTCTTCAGTTTTTGAAATTGAGCTCTGGACTTGAGGTGAGTGAGGAAGATCTACAGTATTTACTTTATGAGACATATTGTTAAAATAAGGTTATATTCACTAAGACAAATTTAAAAAGTTCAGGCATATTATGAGCAATTTACACCTATAGGTTTGTACAGGATAGAAAGGCTATCATGTATGCAATCATTAAAATCATGTTAGCAAAAACCAGGATTCCTGTGTCTCTCTCAACCAAAAGAGGATTGTGGGGCAGAAAAACAGGTCAGAAAGTGGATTGAAGGGAATCTTCCATGGGAAACAAGCAGAATTAATTGGAACTGCAAATTTGCCAATGTCATTTCTAGTTCCATCCCCACTGATTTCATTCATTCTCAATTGTATCATTGGAATGTAGGATAAGAGATAACATGACACTTCCTGAGAAAACCTTCATCCTCCAGCTAGTTACAGATGGATAATGAGATACAGTTGGTAATAGGTAGACATCCTTGGGAAATAATAGACTGCTATCATAGTAGAGAAACAAGGCTGTGAGGATCTATCAAGCATTAAACCACAAGCTAAATGCCTAGCCAAGAAAAACACTACAGAATAGTTTCAAGATGAGGAACGGCGAGCTAAGATGTCTTCTGATGAATGAAGACAGTAGACTGGAAGTAGACTGGTCCCACAGAATCTGTTTAGATAAAAAGGGTACAGGATATTGCCCACTTGTTGTCTAGATGACTGCTCTTTGAAAAGAGACTGCAGGACAGCATGTTTGAGTGATATTAATCATCACATTCTCAAACATGGCAGAGCCTTTTAAAGCCTACTGAGTTCACTAACTCACTTTCCAATCATTTTCAAAAAATATCTTAAAGATAATAGAGATCTTCCACAAGAATGAAATGTTACCTGGTGAGTTTAGCTTCATATTTGAATAAAAGAAAAATGATTTCCTTTATTACTTTTATAAATAGCTCAAGATGGTGAAGATACGTAATATTCCTTCGTCCTTCTATTTTCCCCACAACAACAACAGCCCTATGAGATAAGTTGAGTAAAGAGACTACTGGCCTATCAAGCCTCATGAACCAAAAAACATGTAGAATTACTATTGAACAGTCTTTTATTGTTTCTCATCTATTGGCATAAATCTTGCCAAACTAAATCAACTATTTTTATCACTATAGATATAGAGAGGAGCCTTAACTTTCTCCCAATCAAACTACATAAGCTTTGCTACTTCTTTACACTCCAGAATACAACCTCTTCCCCTTGAAAATCCAGACTACATTCCAACAAAAACCCAAAGTCACACAGTTGGTTTCAGAGGACTTAAGTATAAATCACTTATTCCCATCAGAGATGAACAGAGATTAAATCAGGAAATTGATTTAAGAATCCTGCTAAGACTTGCAATGATCTTTTTAGAAGTGACAAGCAAAAGTATAGGGTCATAGGTACCAAAAAAATCTGTTAAAAATTCTGAAAGATTTTCCTTTTGAAACAAAGATGAGTAGAAAACTACCAATGAAACTTCTTTTTGAAAAAGTTACAGAATATATTTAAAAATATACTTTAAAAAAATCAGAGATTTATAAGATTGGCTTGTATGACCAGTGTTGAAAAAACAATGTAGTTATATTTGCTTGCCCTTTTTGGTATTTTTCTGATAAAAATGATTGACATAGCATTTTTATTTTGTTTTCCTTACCTAAGAAAGGAGAGCTTCCCTAAAACAGCCAAAATCATTATATATTTTTCTTTTCTTTTTTAATACTTAAGCATTTAATACTAAACAGCTAATTCAGTTCTTACTATTATACTGAGGGCAAAAACCAGAATACTTACCTGAAGGTATGCTTGATGAATTTTATCAAATAAGAAAGCCTGAGGCATTTCACTTGCTCTGTATTTGGCACGATCTAGTGAATGGTCTAAACATCCATCTGTGGTGGAAGCAATAACTGTGGAAACAAGAGGACGGATTGCTCCTGCTGCCTAGAATACAAAAAATGTCAGCCTTAAAACAAGTCAAAACAAATTAAAGAATTTAATCTTTATTTACATTATTAACCTAATATAGACATAGATTAATTCCCTGTGAATAAACTGCACAACAGAATTAATTAAACAAAATGTTTATATCAGGTTCATGCATGATCAACTACTGCACTAGATAATAAAATTAATTATTCAGTGATACGCAAGTAATTAATCTAAACTCTTATTTATTTTCTAAATGGAGAATTCATTTGTCATCACTTGATAATAAAGCTGATCAGCAAATTGACATAGTTTATTAATCTGGCTCTGTCATATTGATTGAATGTTGTTATGAATATATGGCAAAGTTTCTTTGAATTTGTGCATCAAAGATTTTCTGAAAAATACTGAAAAATAACCAGATGACTATATCTTGAAATGGAACGAGATTAACAATCAAATGTGAATCAATCCATGCCAAAAATAACATGTTCCAATGATCATTGTAAAAGTTTACTTATATTAACAACCTTTAATTGTCTATACAATTTATTTCTGGTTAATTGTTTTCATATAACTTTGATTTAACAGTTGTTTATAGGAGTACCTTAGCATTAGATAAGCTTAATTTATTTAAAGGATAGTGCTTGAAATACTTATACACTTTCATTACTTGTTTTTAAATGACAAGAGTCTGTATATATATTTCACCAAATTCCATATGTGTTCTAAACATGACAGTTTCTAAACATAAAATATGTAATACAAGGTGCTAAAACATAACGGGTAAACAGACCTTTATTTATAATTCCACTGAATACACAAATTCTGTTACCAGGTACACTTTTATTCTATGCTAAGCATTAATGAAAATGGCAAATTAATTTCTAAAATAGATTAATATGAATAATAAACATTTATTTATCACTTTTATAACCTAACAATAGCAATAGCACTTAGACTTATATACCGCTTCACAATGCTTTACAGCCCTCTCTAAGTGACTTACAGAGTCAGCCTATTGCCCCCTTCCTCATTTTTCCGACCTCGGAAGGATGGAAGGTTGAGTCAACTTTGAGCCTGGTGATATTCGAAATGCCAAACTGACAGCCGGCAGTCAGCAGAAGTAGCCTGCAATACTACATTCTAATCACTGCGCCACCACAGCTCCTCCATAGAGTTATATGAGGTAAGCATATCTTGAAAATTAATCTCTGAAGGTACAATCTAAAATTAATTTAGCAGTAATTAATAAATATTTGGGCAAGACAATTTTCTAGAGTAAAATATTTCAACCATGGTTTCTTTGTTTGGCTTAGGAAGCTAAGGAAAACCACAGGCAATGGCTACTGGACTGATAGTAAATCCTACTTCTTCCATTTCACTCCCTGCTTCCCCACCTGCCCATCTTTTATTCTCATTGTTGCTTTTTCATAGTTTATACTATCTATTGTTCCATTATTTTGCTACTGTTATGCTTACACTTTTTTTCATTTCTAATGTTTACTGTTGTAAGTCATCTAGAGTATCCCCACAGCGAGATAGGCGGCAATTAGATTTAATAAATAAATAAATAAAAACCTAAAATCACAGACATTTAAAACACCAGAAGTTGGAAAAGCTTATCCATAAGCAGATAAAATGTTATCAACTACTCCAGCAAACCCTTCTGGCAAAGCTATATTCTACTTGGTACTTTCCATATGTTTGGGGCTACAACTTTCAAATAATTAAAATCTAACAGTCAATTTCATCCTGAACAAGGCCATTTTGAAGTTATTTTAAAAATTCTCCAATTACAGGAAATTGTAGTTAGTAATAAGACTGAACTTTGAGAAAAAGCTTTTTCCTGTATCTAAAATTCAGTTCTATTTTTACAAACATAAATAAAATGCAATATCTGTGTGGGTTTTGTAAATATATTAAAACTATGTAACAATTTTCAAATTCGTGTCATCAATTGTCCATTTCATCACATTAAATATTAACACTTCTAAAAATAATATTCATATTAATCTGGTTTTCAACCATAGCACAAAGATCAAAAGCAAGAGGGAACAATCATCTGACTTTGTTGGGAAGGTTTTAATTTACCAATATTTGTTCAAGATTCCTTATTTTCCCAATTCTGCCCACTATTTATCCTCTTATTGATAGAACTCTGTCAAGTGGAACTAGTGTTAGAGTAATAAAACTTGTTCCAGCTTATTTTCAGGGCTGCATATGCAGAATAATTTTTTACTCTGCCCAGTATGTATATAACTTAACTAAGAGGTGCTGTAAATGTTTCTATAGCTGTATAAATCAATATGATTAATTCCTTTTCATTCTAACAAACATTTTCACATATTACTGTACAGTGAATATTAATTTAAATAACTGAAAGAACTTTTATTTGACAGCATTCATAACCACGTGTTACAAATTCTACATTCAAGCAGAATTAACTGTGCACTTATTTTTGCAACAAGTAGGAACATGTACTTCTGTCCAGACATCCATACTCTCACCAATTATATATCTAATAATCAACATGCTTTACCCATAACTGTAATTACCTCTTCTGTTAGCAAAATTGTCTTAAAGAATTATCTCTTTTACATTTTTAGAAATGCCACATAAAAAAAGCAACCACAATTATGTAACTTAAATATTTCAGTTATTTTTCAGAAAGTGCATGTTTTGTATAATGAACATTAAATTGATATTGGATTTATACCACTTCTTTGGCATTAAATTGGCATATAATTATTTTAATTTCCAACAAAACTGAAAATTAATTTGTAACAACTAGAGAACCAACATTTATATATTGTCATATAAATGGTTAATTGTCATATAAATTGGTTAATTCTTTGGCATCATATCCATATTTATTTTGGAAACTTTTTGGATAGCCACTTGCTTTTAAGTTCTAGTATTATTGTGGATATATGTTTTCAGTGACCATTGTCTCAGTTCAATGAAAAGAACAAATATCATGAACCATGTGAGTATACCATATGAGTATTATATTCCTAATAATTAGATATACAGTGGTAATTTGAAAGAGGAAATTTTTTCCTATTTTTACATGATTTTATATACAAATCTCCCCAGTTGCCTTTTCCTTAAAGAGTCCCAAATTTCTAGAGCTTTTTTCTCATAAGGAAATAATCTCTATTTTTTAACAACTAAAGTTCGGAGTGAGACAGAAACAAATTAGCAGGAAACATTAATTTGGCTTAGATCCAGATCTTGTTGTATTTTAGATAGGCCTATGCAAATCTATTTAATCTGTTTCTGTTTATTCTAGGTTGTCTGTTGGATTTATTTTAGGCATAACTAGATCTGCATCTAAATCATTATCTGGAAAGATGCAATTTCATACCGCTGAGAATTTGCAGATACTGGAAATTTCAGCAACCATACAGAATAATATCCAGATAACTTTCCCACAGTATAGTTCTTAAACTACAGGTTATTCTGAATAGATATTCAATAAAATACAGTCTGTGCTGTAAACTGATTTGTTAGTTACATTTATTAAGCTTCTTTAAAAGGTTTCCATTGCAAAAATGGTGATGCTTTTCAGAGAAATCATCAAAACAGTTTAAATCATTGAAACACTTTGTTTAACACCACCTAAACTTTACTATTCATTAAAAATACATGATCATGAAAAAAATATGGTTTTTGTGTCTACAAAAGAGTCAAAACACCAATATAACCAAATACAACTCAGGATACTATTATCTGAAAATGAGGAAAGTTATGATATCTGGCATTTCTGGTGGCTTGCAGTTGCATCCAAGTTGTTGTGTTGACCTCTTTGACACATGAGATGCTAGTCTTTCTGTCCTCAAGAGACCATTCCTGAATTCAACAATTTTGAACAATTATTATCCTGTCTTCAGGTGTTACAGAACACTTGAACAAGGGATTACTTGGACCAATTTCAATCAGATTTCGGACTAGGATTTAGTACATAGACAGAATTAGGCTTCCATCCTAATGGCACTCCAGAACTCCTTGAAAACCTGGCTAGCCTCCAGGCTTCAGGGTACAATGGATTTAGTCCTCTTGTTAAGATGTGCTTTTTGTATACACAGTGTGTTGCCTAAACAGATAAAGAAGATAGATTCATAGACAGACAGAAAGATAGACAGACAGATATAGTCTATTGTATTTTATATATATCAATTTAGCACAGCAATTGGTATATTATAAAAGACCTGAAACAAAAGATCCAGTTTTGGGTTAGGTCTACACAACATGCACCCTACCAATTGTTTTAAAAAGTGATATTACAGCTGCTACAGTGCCAGCAACTCTAGTAATTCTGCAGCTCCAGTAGCCATCGAACAATTGATTAGCATTTTTAATATATGCGACCCATGAAGATTTTTAATTTATCAGTGTGGCCCTATTACCTTGACAAGTTAGCAAGCATACTTTGGTTAATGAAAAGTATACTTAATTATAACTAGTAAGAGAATTGAATGGGATATGATGAGTCCAGATAATCTATCCATCTTGTTTAGAATGTGCTAGAGCTAAATATGCACAATGCACAATAGTGCAAATCGCATGAAAGATCATTGAAAGTCTGATGGTAAATCTCATCATCTGCCGTATCAAAGGTTAGTGATCCGATGAATTGCCTTAAATAAGTTCTTCCACTTTTTGGGGTCATACAGATCTTAAGAAAATATGTCAGTTCAGAAGGCAATGAATAAAGAACACTGATGTGTACCATGACCCTTATCAGATCCAAGGCAGTTTTCCTTCTTTGGATTTGAAGGGGCATTGTGTTACCTGAACGCCTTTTCTCAGCATGATGATGTAGAATCCACCAGTGGGTAATCACAGCCTTCCTGCTCAGATGAGACTAAATCAGAACTTTAGCCACGCCTCCCTCTGGGAGTGTCTTCCCAGTTATTGACGAGGCGAAGCACCAATGACAAAGTCTGACGCAATAGCTCCACTAATATGACACCTGCCTAGATCGACCTTAAGGGTGAGTGTGGATGTGT